CAAAAAAAGGTGACTGCAGATCACTGGCCTTAGCTGCTGCCTTGGCCTGGAGGGCCCAGCCTGAGGACCATTTTTCAGGGTGTGGAGCCTGGGAATGGGTCTGGCCTATCCCACGGAGGTGGACTTTAATCACATCCATAAAATACCTTCACAGCAACACCAGGTGACATAGAGCTGACCATGACACTTGGTTTCTGCAAATAATAACTGTGTTTAAGGATTAATAAGATAGCACATACATGCCATCTAGAGCTGATACAGACCAAAAGATAAATGGCGATGGCACACAAGAAAGACATGTACAAAGAATTGCTCGCAGACACTGACAGTGACCGTGAGTGATTTTTCTCTTCTTTATGTTCCAGGCTTTTAAAATTCATATTAGGGACTAATTAATTTTTTAGTTAGGTTTTTGTTGTTGTTGTTAATCCTCACCCAAAAATATTTTTTCATTGATTTTTTTTAAAGATAGAGTGGAAGGGAAGGAACAGGGGGAGGGGGGAGGGAGAGAGAGAGAGAGAGAGACATTGATGTGAGAGAGTCACATCGATTGGTTGCCTCCTGAATGACCTCCCAACCGGGCTGGGGATCAAACTTGCAAACCAGGCATGGGAATCGTACCTGCAACCCTTTGGTCCTTGGGCCAACGCTCTAACCCGTGAACCAAACCAGCCAGGGCTTAGTTGGGTTTTTTGAGGAATGATTTACATACAGTAAAATTCACCCTTTATAGTTTTATACACAGTCCTGTGTGCAATTTGTCAGACACATGCAGCTGTAGAACTGTGACCACAGTGAAGACATGGAAGAGTTCCTTCAGAACAAAGAGTGTCCTGGTGCCCCTCTGTATTCAAACCACATGAGGGGTTATCCTTGGGGATGTAAGACTGGTTCCAAATTAGAAAAGTAATCAGTGCAATTAATCATATCAGATTGTCAGGCCAAAGAATTAGCTCAAGTGGGACAAGTCACGAAAGGAAGAGAATTTTTTCTTCCCCTGTGCTTTCCTGGGGGACAGCGGAGGAGGCTCACTGAGCAATGGGGCTTCCAGACCTTAAAGTTAAATGAACTTCTGACCCATCTTCCTTTTTTTTTTTTTTAGGTACCTTGTAATGCACATGACCGTCCAGAAGGGGGCAGCCTTCCCTGACGGGATTCCCTATCTCTTGATTTCTTTCCAGCACGTGTTCTCAGACAGCATGACTAAAACTGGGCGTTTTTTTCCCCATTGAAATAAACAGGGCTGCTGGCGAGAGCAAATTGTCTCAGTCTGATACTGTTTGCCCATGGTTTGCAGAAACTGTTTTTGAAATAACCCAAATACACGTTGCCACATTGAAAACCTCAGAAATCAGCATCACAGAGTTCACCCCCTACCTCCGCACCCCAAAACTGCTTCCCTCATTCACAAGTTTGGAAGGGACAGAATGGAAGGTGGAGTTGGAAACAGTCGTGATGTTAGTTAGCAAAAGGGGGCGCTGTTATGGCTGAATGTTTGGGCTCCCCCACTGACCCAAATTCATGTGTTGAAGCCACGGCCTTCAACGTGATGGTGTTTGGAGATGGGGCCTTTGAGGACCTGATAAAGGTTAAGTGAGGTCATAATGATGGGGCCCTAATTGGATAAGGCTGGCACCCTTAGGTGAAGAGGAGGAGACACCACAATTCCCTCTTCCTCTCCTTCTCCCTGCCCCACCCCCCAGCCGTCTGCCAGCCAGGAAGAGGGTCTTAGCAGAACCCCAGCCCTACCAGAGCTTGGTCTTGGACTCCCGCCTCCCGAGCTGTGAGAAATACATTGTTCACGCCCGGTCTGTGGTATTTGGAGCCGACTGAGGCCGGCCCGACTCAGGGCAGCACTTCCCTTTTTATATTATTATCGTTGTTAGCATGCTATCAAACTAGTTCTTTTGGTTAAAACAACAACAACAACAACAACCAACCAAACCCTGCAATCGCTCACATGTTGCTCAGTGCGAGATGCCTCTCCACGCGGGCCACGTGCTTTCCCTCCCTCACTTCCCTGTGAGTTTGTCGTCTCAGGCCTGCAGGGGGCGCCCTCAATGCCAGGAGCAGGCCAAGCTGTCACAGGAGAGAAACGACACATGCTGTTTCTGGGCGTTTGCGAGACTAGGATGCCTTTTCGGGTTTCCGTGGAAGGGCATGTGAGCCAGACGTGAGCTGGGGAGTGAATTGGTTCTGCAGTCGGGGGGGGGGTGGAGGGGGAGGGGGCCATAGTGAATCTGCATGTCTGTGTCACAGGCGCTGAGAAAACAGAGGGCTGCACCTCCCTGCAGGGTCCCCCAGAGCCCAGAACAGTGTCAGTGTCAGAGAGCTCCTGATTCAGGGTCCCCCCCCCTCCTCCCCCGGGCGGATGTTGGTCTTGGGAGCCAACCCAGTTATACAGGGTCTGGAAAGATCTTGAGCATTGGTTCAAAGCCTGGGTCCCTTGCTTCCCAGCTCTGTGAACTTAGATACGTTCCTCCGCCTCCCCTCTGCGCTCTCACATACCAGGTTCACATACCAGGTGGGGTCACAGCTCATCTGATGAGGTTTCTCTAAGGATTAAACGCCTCAGCCTTAAATCACCTGGTGTGGTGCCCGACAGGTAATGCTTCATCGGTGGTCACCAGAATGCAGAGGCAGGGGATGGAGGACTTTTCTGTAAAGGGCTCTACGGTAACTGTCTGAGGCCTTGTGGCTGGCAGTCTCTGGCGACACCCGGCTCTGCCGTTTTGGTAGAAAGCAGCCATAGACCGAGCATAAAGCAATGGGTGTGGTCATTTCCAGTAAAGCTCTTTTTAAAAACAGGTGGGCCCTCGTTCTAAGGTGATGCCTGTTCAGAAGGCCGGATGTTCAGGGAGGGGAAGGAGGGGGGCAGAGATGTGGGGGTGTTGAAGGGTTGTCAGCCAGCCTGGGAAGTGGGCATCGGAGGCTGGGCAGAGGAGCCTGGGGGAACGCAGGGGGCCGTGTGTAATGACCACTGGGGCTGCACATGGCTGGGGGTGATGACAAAGCCCTGGAGGTAACAGGAGAGGGTTGAGGTGAAGAGGAGTGAAATTGTCCAGGCGAGGAGGTATTTGGGAAGCTCTCTCCTGACCAGTCATTGGTCATGATACGGTTAGAGCAGGACACAGAGAAGGGACGGCTGCAGGATGAGGTGGCTGGAGGACAGGGCCGAGGGGCTGGGACCCACGCCAACTGGGAATGTTCTCCTGCCTAAGCAGGGGCGTCACTGAGGCGCTCAGGCACCCCAGCCAGCACTTACTAAGCATCAATCACATGCGTGGCACCGCTAGACTGAAGAAACAAGTTACAGAATCCAGCCCCACCCTCCGGGGCAACGTCCCAGTGAAGGAGACGGACCCCAAGTCCCGCAGATGGCCGTGAATGCTGAGCAGTGTGACAGATTAGTAGTGGGGCACTGGAGGGGAGTGGCTGGGGAGGCCTTTAGCTGGGGCTTCTGGGACTTTCTAAAGCGGCACCCCCTGAACCGAGACCTGGACGATGGAATCTGTTCAGTTCTCCAGCGGGTAGTCTAAGGGGAGGCTTACTTCCTACTGCTTTGTTGGAGTGCAACCCTAAGAGGAAGTGAGGGACAAGGCCAGGTAGCCCCGATACAAGGACAGTGATCAAGGGGGGCCCACAGAGTGCAGCTGGCCGCTCAGTCTCATGGGAGCACCCTCTGGAAGGCTGGTCAGGCTGCATCCAACCGCAGGGTGGGAGGTGAAGGAAAGACCTACCAACCTGTTCTTGTCTGCAGGGTTTATACCGTGGGGGACTAAATGCCCCCGACTTCAAGGTTACACAGGCACGAGCCTGGGTGGATCTGAGCGAACCTGGGTACATTTGGTGGGATCCCACAGAGCCAGTTGCTGGGGCACCGACAGGAATAAGGTACAGATGGGAGAGTCTGAAGTTCCCATAGTTACCATGTGATAACTTGGGGGGAACGTCCCAGGCAGAAGGAACAGAAGGTGCCAAGGCCTTGGGGCTTTCCTGTAACTTTTCAAAATGATAAAAGATGCACCCCGCCCCAAATACGGAGTTCTGAAAATGAAGCCCCCAACCGTGCAGAGCTGGGAGGGGCCTGAAGGGAAGCGGCGGTGGTCCCGGTAGGTCTTTGATGTGCTCCAGGGGCTCCTACTTTCAACCACTCTCCCTGCCAGCTCAGCCAGATGCCCGTCATTAGGGTGCCAAACCCTCGCTGGGAAGCCGCTTGGTACCAAGCCCAGTGCTTGGTGCCTCGGACCTGGGCAAAGATGACACGAGCTCTGTGCCCTCCACACGCTCCCCAGGTAGGGAGGCAGACAGAACTGGCTTAGAAACCAGGCGGACCCGGCTGGTGTGGCTCAGTGGTTGAGCGTCGACCCCTGCACCAAGAGGTCGCCGGTTCGATTCCTGGTCAGGGCACATGCCCAGGTTGTGGGCCTGATCCCCAGTGGGGGGCATGCAGGAGGCAGCCCATTGATGTTCTCTCTCATCGGTGTTTCTCTCTCTCTCTCTCAAACCAATAAAGGAAAAATAATTTATTTTAAAATAAATTTAGAAACCAGGCGATTTCTGGATCCAAATCCCTGCTTCCCGTTTGTTACCCAGGTCAAGTGTTTGACCTTTCGAAGCCTCAGTTTCCTGTAAAATGGAGACGACACAGCCTTCCTTGCTCATCAAGCTGATATGGGGATACAAGGATACCACAAATATGAGCCCCCCAGAGGCCGCCCCAGGGCTCCCCCTGCCTGGGGAAGCACTTTGTGGTTGTTCAGTGTCCATGATCTACTATGTAAAGGTTTCGTGGAGAAGGTAGAAAAGACCTGCTTTGAAGAGTGTTTTAAATCCTTTGCAGATTAAAATGTTATCCAATCTGACCCCATTCCCCGGAATATCATCACAGCCTCAACTTAATCCTCCAGCTTCCAGAGTCCACCCCCCCCCCCCAACTCCTACCCCGGAGCCACTTCCCCAGGGCTGGGGGTAGAAGGACCACACTGCAGACAGCACCGTGGTCTCCAAGGCCTTTATTCAGGAAGGTACAGAGCGTCTGCAGTCGGTCTGACAGGCACTGTTCGGGGTTTGTAACAGTTCAGTTTTCTCCAAGGTGGCGTGGGGAGAGGGGTGCAGAAGGCAGGAAATCCCTCTGGGAATCTTCTCCTCCAGAAAAGGCACTGGCTCAGGGTGAACACTCTGCTCCTTCCCGAGGAGGACCTGGGTTATGTACACACAAGGGTTGACTGGATGGATGCAGAGAAACTCAAAGCTAAATACAGCTAATGGAGGAAAGAGACCATGGGGGAGGGGGGCACCAGGGCTGCATCCAGGCTCTTTCCAGGAGGTTCAGAAAGAAGGCAGAGCTTCAGAGGAGAAACAGAATCCAGCCTCTCAGTCTTAGTGTTTTGTGCAATTAAAAAAACCCAACAAAATAAATATAACTTAAAAACTTCTTACATGACACTAAAGGCAAGTCTGGGACGAGCAGTTGAGAAGACCTTCTCCGAAGGCTAAGCAGTGCTGAACACCAAGAATGCCGGCGGGGGCGGGGAGGGGGTCAAGGACAGGGCAGGAAGGACACCCACCCTCCTGGCACCTGCATGCCCAGGACCCTAGGAGTCCCCGCCTGGACTGGGGCTGGGTGGGGTAGGCTTTTCAGACAGCCTGGGCAGGGGTTCTGGAAAATTCCATTCCAGGATCCATACAAGGGGGTGGGAGGTCAAAGGGGAAAGAGGGTTGAGAGAGTAGGTATGGAAGAAGGAAACTAACACAGTAAATACAAAACCCCCGGGCCCCTAAGTAATAGAATAACCCTAAAAAGATGCCACTTTCACATATAAATGTGACCCAAAGCAAAGAATTGCCAGTAAGAGGCCCCAATGGGTCTCCTTTAATAAACAAATCCTTTGCTTATTAGCACATCATTTGCAAACAACTGGTGCCTGCTTAAAGTGCTTGTTTGTTCTCTTAGTAGGTGAAGCTGGTCCCTGTTTTGTTCATAGCATCATGTGCTTTAGCAAACTTTTCATACACAGGAGGAGGGTGACTCCTGGCCAGCCCACAGCTGCAGAACCTTGACGTCTAACTGAATGATGTCCCTTCTGCAGGGAGCTGCAGGCAGACCACCGGGTCCCTCTCACCAAGTGGAGACAGCTCCCATGCTCCTGCCCGCCAGGATCACATGTCGTCACAAGGTCTCTCGTGCTCCCCAGGGGCTGGGGTGTGACCTTTAGCAAGTCAGCCCACACAGGAGCTCACCACTGTTTTGAACAAGAGCCAGGAAGTTGAAAAATGATTTCCTTTTAAAAAATCTGAACTTATATATCCTCGTGTCCCACCCTTCACCCCCATCAACTGTCACTCATGAAGCATGAAAGGGGAAATGTGTCACATGGGCAAGTTGACAGTTCCCCCAGAGACCCTGGGGTGAAGGGGGTGGCCCAGGAAGCCCTCCCTCTGGATTGGTCCTTACAGGTACACACACCTGGGCACACACTGTCTCCACTGTATCCCTGAAAACAGATCCCCGTGGAGCAACTGGTCCCAGTGTCTGCTGGCCTGGCCCCTGACTCTCTGACAAGGGGGGACACCTGGGGGCACAGCTCCACATAGCCATAGCTGGAATTCTGTCTTTGAAAGTCATGCAAATTTTACATTCTTCTCCATAATATAGACTTACTTGCTTCGCAATGAGAATAAGGCTTACAACTGGTTCCCCACGAATCTTCAAGCAACCTAGAGACTCCAGGACGAGATGCCCGGAGCACGCCCTGGCACCCACCACCTACCCCGGAAACTGCCCACACCACCTTGGGAAGCAAGGGGCTAAACCCTTCAGGCCATAACTTATTTCAGGGGAAAAGAGCTGATGCCAGGAAGCCAGCTTCCTCCTGCTTCCTCCCTGCCCAGGGCTGGCCCGAAGTCCCGCCTGTAGCTGCTGGGGACGCTGGACGTCATGAGAGAGCCCCCAGGGTGCAGGCAGGGCAACTGAGTGTCACCAGGGAGTGGGAGAGAGGAGTGTCCCACGCAGGTTCTGGCTTTCTTCCCTAGAGACTGCCTGTGCCCTGGCCACTCCCGTGCAGCCCTTGGCATTGTCACAGCGGGGGGGGGGGGGGGGGGCACAGTGGCTCTGGGGGTCAAGTGCAGCCCAGGAAGCTCGGGTTGCAGAGACCCTCTGAATTCGTGGGTGATAATCACGGATGGAAGAACACAGCTCCTGCCTGCCCCCAATGGGGGAGGCCAACATCAGAGAGCACAGCCCAGTCGGCTCAGGACTGCTGGCTCCTGGGTCTGGCCCAAAGGTGGATTTCATCAGCCCGTAAAGGGCCTATAAAAGCCACCACACGTCCTGGACCCCCTGGGCTGATAATCAAAAGGTGCTTTACTCATGGCCGATATGCGGTTCCCAGGGATTCTGTGCCTCAACCGTGAGAAAGCCTGGCACCGGTCACCAGCTGAAACATGGGCTCTTACAGCCCCTGCCAGGCTAGAAGGATGGGGTGGAAACGGCTATGCTGGGCCGTGGCACTACTGGCACTGGCCACCAGGAGGCAGCAAGCCCACACAGGTAACCCACCCAGAAAAGGGGGCAGGACCCCTGGGCCACCTGAGCCTCCACCCAGATCTAAACCAACTGACCTCTCCCGCAGGCAGCAGAGTCTGGCTTGGGCATCACTCTTCCAGAAAGATCCTATTTACAGAAATAAGTGGAAGCCCCAGTGCCCAAGCCCTTCAATTAGGAAAGTATCTAGAAAATCTCGTCTCCTCTTCTACAAAGTGTCTTGTAGTGCAGTTTGGGAGGGTCAGTTCTGGGGCTTGCACCCAGGTAGAAGTGAAAGAAAAATTAAGAAGGGAAGGAAAGGGGGAGGACAGAGGCCAGGAGCGCAGTGAGGTGGGCACCAGGTTGCCTCAGGCGAGAGGGGCACCTGGGCCAGGGCACATTTCCGTCAGGATGTCGATGAGGTTGTTCAGTCCCGAGAGGTAGCCATCCTCCCGGTTCCCTTCCTGCCAGGGGATGTCATGCTTCAGGGTCTGGCCCTCCGGCAGGGGTGTGGTTTTCCCGAAGTCGATCATCCACACCTTGGCCTGTTCCTTCTTGTCGTGGATGAAGAGGAGCGAGCTGCCGATGACCTGCAGGGGACCAGGGGGGTGAGCAGGGGATCCCAGAGCCCCTGCCCTGCCCCCCACACTGCAACCTGGCTCCTGAGGCTTGAGTGAAATGGGGAGAGGTCGCTCAGGTGAGACCCGGAGCCTACAACTCTGACCCCATTCTTCCCTGGGCAGCAGAGCCTGTGGAGGGTGGCCACGGGGGGTGCAGAGGACATCGGAGTCCAGAACAGCAGTCAGCCTTCTGTGTGGGCAGTGGCAGGAAGTCCCCAGTGGCAGACTGCCGCCCCCCACCCACTCCAGCCTGCACACTATCCACTATTTCAGACCACAGCCGATCTCAGGCAGGACAGTCCTGAGTGGTCAGCCCAGGGCTCCTGGCACAGACGCGGTTATGATGTGTTTCCTGCATGAGGCAAGGGGCCCAGGGCCCAGGGCCCAGCCCCGAGTGGACTGCCTCCCGCTGCTGTCGCCCTGAAAACGCCCCTTGGGTTTTCGGAGGAAGCAGATCTGTTGGCGAGGGAGGAGTGCTCACAACTCAGGTGGCAGGCCCAAAGGTCATGGCCAGCTACACGGAGCACAGCTCTCTGTCCATGGCAACAGCCCAATCAATACCTACCTCATGGCCCTTGAAGAAAGGAGAAACTTCTAGCGTGGCCCGAATGTCCTTCAGCCGGTCTCGGTAGGCAATCTGGGAATAGAAAGGTCACCAGATTTTTAAACACTTGGGACTGATGGGTGGATTTTAAGCTCCATTTGGCCCATTAGAGTCACTAAGTGTCAGGGGGAGGGACCTTACACCCTGACTATGTAAGCAACTGAGGCCCAGAGCAGGCAGGGTGCTGGGCTCCTGGTCCTATGCTTCCCTGTCTGCACTGCTCCGTGAGCAGGGGGGGCTGGGGGGACAGTTCCCAAGCACCCGCGCAGCCTCCAGGCGCTCCTCACAAAGGGTTAAGTTCATTCTGGAATGCAGCGTAGAGGCGGGCAGCATCCTAGGAGCCCGGTTGCCATGGTATCTTCCTGAATACAAACTTCAGTGACTTTTGAAAGGACAGAGTAAGTGAGAAAGCCACAAATATCTCTGCCAGGGGCCTCTCCACCGAGCCCTCCACACCCGGGCTGACTGCTGGCCCTGGGGGTGCCCGCCTCCCCTGGGGACCGCTGGGGAAGCCTGGTGCACACAGGCGCACAAGGCCCCTCAGTGCCCCTCTGCAGCAGTGCCAGCCTGGAGCTCAGCACCAAGAATAAACCCCTCTCATCGGGGCACAGGAAGCACATGTTCTGAGCAGGCTTTGCAGAGGAGCGGGTGGCCCGGCACCCAGAGGCTCAGGCTTTGGAAGAGCCGGGGTTGTACCCCATGACTGAAGTCTCAGCCCTGGCCAGGGGCCAAGGGAAGTCTTCCCAGTAGAAAAGGAAGAGGGGAGGGGAGTCCCCAGTTCCAGTGGTGCTGAGTCTCCTCGGAGAAAAGGTTGCCTCTCTCTGTGCCCACATCCCCAGTGTGCCTGGGTCTCTGACTGTCGCAGGCACCCTGCCCCCGGGATGCAGAGGTACGACACATCCTGCCTCCACCGGGAGGGTCGGGGTCCTGATCCCAGCCCACCTCTGCTGCAGTGTGAAGGAAGGCGCTGTGTCGTGAGCTTCTGCCACCCACACCTCCAGGCTCAGCAACAGCTGGCAGGTTCTTCCCAGGGAGGGAACAGTGACTCCCCCCAGGCACACTTCCCTGAGACGCAGGCCTGAGAGAGGCCCAGCCAGGCCTGGGAGGATCAGGTGTGCAGGGACCAGCAGGCCGCCCGCCCATCTGAGTGGATCCTGGCTCCATCCCTGTCCTGGCTGTGTCCTTGACCTCTGTTTGCTCATCTGTGGAACGGGGACAAGAATGTCTGCCCGTCCCGGAGGCTGCTATGGGAATTGGATGAGCACTTGGCACAGTTCTTGGCAGGCAGTGGGTGGTAAGGAAACCCAGTGATGGAAAGGATTGCTCTTACGAGGATGGAAAACGCTCTCGGGAGCCGTGAGGCTCACGGCGAAGGGAAAGAATGAGTGTTCGCCACGCTTTCCTGTCCACCCGCAGAAGGGGCTGCACCACGTGACCTTCCTCTTCACCTTCCAAGCAAAAGTTTGGGGCGCCCGGCCGATATAGCTCAGTGGTTGAGCGTCGACTCACGCACCAAGAGGTCACTGGTCCGATTCCCAGTCAGGGCACATGCCCAGGTTGTGGGCCAGATCCCCAGTGGGGGGCGTGCAGGAGGCGGCCAATCGATGTTCTCTCTCATCGATGTTTCTATCTCTCTCTCCCTCTCCCTTCCTCTCTCTCTAAAATCGATACAGAAAAAATAAATAAAAAGTTTGCGACCAGGGTTTTAGGCGGGCACCGTGGCCACTGCTGCTGGGGCTGGCCTCCGTGTGGGGCCGGGCACACTTTCCAGCGTGGGCACCGCCGTCCTGCCTGAGGCCCCGACCCCGGCTCACTCTCGGGCGCCCTCACTCACCAGGATGTTCCGGTTTCCTTTAGTGAATTCTCTGAAGGCCTCCGTGACCTGCTCCCGCGTCTTGGTCTTCTTGAAGTCCCGGTTCACAGAGCCGTCTTCCTTCTGAGAAGGAGAATCCAGGGGGGTCAGCAGAGGGCTTGGGGGCAGGCACTCCCTCATCCACCCAGGGGGCGGAGAAAGCCGCTCTGAGCCCAGGTCTGACCCCTGGGCAGTGAGGTGTCCCTGCGCAGGCACGGCCAGCACGGGGTGGTTAATCGGGCAGCACTACAAAGGGAAGCCTGTCTGGGGCCCTGGGAGGGTGGACTCAGCATCCCAGGCGGCGTGCAGAGCGTCAGGAAAGGCTAAGAGGTGTGAGGGCCCCTTGGGTCAAGCATGTGGGGGTGAAGCATGTGAGCAGCAGGGGCTGAAGGAGATGCACAGCCCTTGGCTTCCCCTGGGGCCTGGCCCCAGAACCCAGGTGCCAGGAGGTCCCTGCCATCCAGAGGCACCCTCCCTCCCTGACCAGGAGAGAGAAACACTCCTTACCCCAAGTTCAGCTCTATTCCCCTTACCATTTTTTTTCCCTTTTTAAAATTGATTTGAGAGAAAGAGGAAGTGAGAGGGAGAGAGATAGAAACACAGAAGAGAGAGAACATCGACTGGCCGCCTCCTGGATGCCCCACACTGAGGATTTGGCCCACAACCTGGGCATGTGCCCTGACCGGGAATCGAACCAGCGACCTCTTGGTGCATGGGTTGACGCTCAACCACTGAGCCACTCCGGCCGGACTCTATTCCCCTTATAATTTATTTTATTGTAGGATCCCTGAAAGCCAAGAACTAATACTTTCTGCCCACCTCCGCTCCCTGGTCCCCCTGCGCGTGAGCCAGCTCCATTTTCTTAGTCAAGGCTGTTCCAGGGCAGCACGTGGAATTTACCTCTTTTAGGAGGAAATCAGTCCTTTAGGACCAAGGGTGAGAAAGGATGGCTCCTCCAGGAGCCCCACAAGGCCTTGTGTACCACCAGCGAGGAGGGTGGTGACAGCCCCGTGGCCGCCTGTCAGTGCAGGCGGGCCTGGCCGTGGGCAGACCCGGGGTGCACGCGGGGTGGACCTCACACCCCGGCTGAGCCTTGCCCACCGAGCCCCTGCAGGGCATCGCCTGGGCCGAACGGAGTGGACCTCTGGCGGAGACTGGCTGCTCTCAGAGGTGGTGGCCTCCGCCCCAGAAGCCGGCTGCTGGCTGTTTCCACAGCAGAACAAGGGGCAGAGACAAGAACATCAGCTTGAGAGCGAGAAGTGGAGGGAAAGGTGGGTTGTTTCAACAGATGAAGGAAAATGAGCATGACGAGGAGGGTGAGCGAGTAGTTCGAAGAGTCTGAGGGCTGGATGTGAACGAGAAAGGCTGGTTTTGGGAGACGGGGCGGGGCCGATGGCTTTCTCAGCCCGGAGCTGGCAGAGCAGCTGGCCCGGGGGAAGGCGAACACTTTCCCGGGCTCACCACCGCCAACTGCAGAACCTTACACCTAAATGCCATCTGAGTGAGGCTGCGGAGCCTGCCCTGGCTTCCGCGTGCCCGAGCAGGGCTCCTAGCCGCCCAGCCCTGGCTCTGTGGCTGGACAGTGAGTGCCAAGGACGAATGAACAGGCACAGAACCCAAGAACACCGCGGGGACCACCCCCCACTGCAGGAACGGCTGCCTGAGACCGAGGGGCCTGGTGTCCCGCGGCCCTGCTCCTGGGGATGAGTGCGTGTCTGAGCTGGCTCTTCAAATCTCACAGCGGGGGAGGTGGATACAGGGAGAACATTCTGAGGTCCTTTGGGGCAGATGGAAGAGGGGAGAAGAGAGAATGGGGTGGCCCTAAGTTTGAGGGATGCTTCAGTGCAGCCTCACCAGCGCTACTTGGGGACATAGAGGACCAGTGCTTGGTCCTGCCTGTCCGGGCAGAGCAAGGGTCACAGCCTGGATGTCAAAGGTGGCCAGTGCGCTCCTTCCCTGGCCTGCATCTCCGCCAGTCCCCAGTTTTTGGGCCATGGATAGAAGGGGCCAGCTCCCCTCCCTGGCATCCCATAATGTGGCTCCCAGGGAGGTTCTCAGTGCCCTGTATAGTCTGGGCTAAGAACAGTCCTTCGCAGGAGTAGCCATGCCTACTCCAAGGCCCCGGCCCCCTACGTGGCTGTCCCGCCCGTCCCCAGACTGAGGAATAGGACAATTTCTCCAAATGTGTGGAGAAGCTTACAGACCCCCGGTGGAGAACAAGCCCCCATCCCTTCTGTACCCAGGCAGCCTCAGGTGGCAGCTGGCTGGCCTTACCTTGATGCCCTCAATCCTGAACCCCAGGGTGGCCGTGGAGCTGATGGTCTCCCTCCATTGCATGTACCGCGGCTTGGTCACAGCACGCTGGGCTTTCTCCTCCTCAGTCGGGGCCTCGGGGTCCACCTCGATCATCTTCTGGTACATGTCCTTCCGGAGGCTGGGCTTCTTCCGGGCCTTGGTGAGCTCCTCTTCCAGGTAGGTCCTGCATGGGACGGACAGGAGGGCACGTGAGGGCCGTGGCTGCAACAGCCGCCTAGCAACCTGCCTCCTTCCCTCATCGGTTGGCCCTCTGCCAGGGCACCAGCGGGCCAAGGGCAGGGTCCTCTCAGGGCCCCAGTTGTCCCTGCTCAGCTGCCTGGGACCCTTCCCCAAAGCAAGTGCTTCTGAAGCCAGTATCTGTGTGGGTCGAAGGGCTCATTGTACCCCCGTCCTACCCACCTCCCCATTCCCTGGCCGGCTGAAGGGCTGAGCAGGCCCTTACATGATTGACTGGCTCTCTCCAGAGTACACAGGTCAGGCCAGAAGGTGGCCTCTCACGGGGCCACGGGCTGGAGGGAGATGCCCATGGCAGGAGGGGGGCTCCACGGCCTCTGGTCTGTGGCAGGGCTGCCCCGGCTCATCCTGCCACGTGGATACCAGGCCCCAGCCCAGCCCACGACTCCCCACGCCCCCAGCCTGAAAAGCCAGAGAAAAATGTGTCCAACTGAATGGTTCACTGTCCTGCCCTCCGCACAAGCAGGCTGGGCCTGCGGATGACCTGGAGGGGGTTTCCGGACACTGGTGGGGTATCAGGAGCAGGGACAGTACAGGATTTAAGCAGCCTGAGGCTGAACCCCTGGCCCTGGCTGTCTCCCTCACCCCATCCTTTGCAGCTCTTCACCCATGCAGCCCTCTTCCCCGCCCCCTTTTAACCTCCCTCCTCCCCTGTCACATTGTGGGCTGAGCTGCTGCCCGTGACCCTCCACGAGACAGAAATGTGCAGCGTGACTTGCAGTAGAGGGAAGTTTTGTTCCCTGGCCCTGCGTGGGTGGGAGCTGCCCACAGGCAGCCTGTTGTGAAAACAGGCCAGGTCCTTGCTCTCCCCTGTCTGTCCGGGGGCCTTGCTCCATGGCCCCCACCCCTCGTCTCCAAGCTGTTGGTTTGGGACCCAGAACAGACTGAATGTCAAATTCATGACATCTTTAAAAGACAGGTTTTCATAAATCACTGTATCAACTGAAAAACCCAAATCCTTGGGTGTGAACTTGGGCCTAGTCATTTAGGACCTTCCGGGGAGTGATGGAGAGTGGAAAGGGCCTGGTCAGCCCTGGCTGCGCACCTGCACACACGCCTGTGCCCACACCCACACGCGTGCTCACTACTGTGCATGCAGAGCCACAGCGGTGCTGACAATTCAGGATTCAGGCGGACGCGCGAGGCAGGATGCGTCTGCGCGGAGCACGCGTGCAGGTCTGCGCGGAGCACGCGTGCAGGTCTGCGCGGAGCACACGTGCAGGTCTGCGCGGAGCACGTGTGCAGGTCTGCGTGTGCAGGGCAGCTGGGAGAGGGACTCCTGCCGGGCCTGCAGAGTGGTGGGCGGCCGCACTTCTGCAAAGAGCTCTCAGTAGCTCCTTAAACAGGAAGCAAGCCTCGATGTCAAATCCCTCTTCATGCAGGGCTTTTTCCAAAAAGGGCCACTGCACTCAATCTGGGCAGGGTTGCTCACCCTCTGGGGGGGTGGGGGGGTGGGGGATGGGCAGAGATGCCCACAAGCGGCGCCGGCTGGACAGGGGCACCACAGGTCCAGTGGGGAATGACCCATGCTGCCCTGCGACCTGCCACCGCCCGCACCAGGGAAGGTCAAACCTCCATCTCGGATGGTGGTGGGGGTGAGGGTGTGGGGTGGCAGGGGGTGGAGAGCCAACAAGTGACATAACAAAGCCAGCTTCAAACAGGGCAGAGGTGCTGGAGACAGTGCTGGTCTCCTCCCCAGACCCTGGTCCAGATGCCTGACTTTGAGTGGCAGGCCACATAACACAGATTTACAGGGTCACATCTAAGAAAACTCCCCAGACTAGTAGAGCATATGTCCACGTGGAACCGGGGTCCGAGATGCCTCGCGTTTAGGACACTACAGGCTCCCACTGTGCTGGAGGCTGGGTTTGCCCATCAGCCCTTCCACCTCTGGGAGTCTCAAACCCACATGCCTGTGACTTGGTATCTGTGCTGACCCTGGGCTCAGCCTCCTCCCTCGGCCAGGCACAGGCCATGCTCTGGAAGTGACTATGGACTGCTGGTCTCAGGAGAGGCTGTGAGGCCAAGGGTTCCGGATCAGTGAAGTTGGAAAATGTCACAGTCGCTGCTTGGATGCCGGGCCCACAGAGCCCCCGCGGCAAGTGCAGGGTGAAGCCCAGGCTGGATTCGCAGGTGGAGGCCCGAGGCAGATGAGGGCGGTGCCTCGGGCTGTGTGGCCCTGATGGGTCCCTGAACCTCCAGTGTCAATGCTCAGTCCCAAGGAGACCCTGAGGAGCACCTGGCACAGCGCTCAGGAACACAGAAGGGCCGATCTTTGAGGCAGAGACGGTGGAGCCTGGGGTGGTGGTGCCAGTTCTGGGGAGACCTACCCCTTCCTCTCCACAAAGCTCCTCTCGCGCCCCACTCCTGCCTCCAGTCCCTGCTCAGGACTGGGTTAAACACGTCCCAGCCTCGCTGGTCCACTCTGGGTCCCTGAGAGCCCTCGGATATAGTGGGGCAGAAGCTCCAGGAGGCAGGGGGACGGGGAAGCCCTGGGCAGAGGGGGTTCCTGCCCCAGCAGCCTCCCAGGGAACAGACAGGTACCCAGGGCAGCCTTTCAGGACCGACTGGCTACACGTTCCTTCCGCAGGGTGTACTTTATTTGGCCACAGTCTGAGTGAACACCAACCAGCTTATTTATATGTTTTCCCTTGAGAGGGTGCATCCTGGTGCACCAAGGGGCGGGGCACTTCCTGGGACAGAAATAAATCTTGTGAAGAGCAGTGGCCAAGTGGTGGCTGGAGGGACGTTCTGTCACCTCCCTGTGGGCTGGAGCTGGTGAAGGTCCTAGAGGGAGGCAGGGAGGTAGGGACAGTAAGAGCAAACAGTGGGACCTGTACTCCCCACCCCCCTGTCCCTGCCTTGGGCTCAATGCCAAAGAAGCACAGCATCAGCCTGCAGGGTCAAAATTTAGGACCAGCTCCCAGGGAGTGAGAAGGAGAACTGGTGGGCTTGGCCTCATGGCCTCGCTCGCTCTCTCCTCTGTCTCTCCTCTCTTCTCTCTCTCTCTCTTTCTCCCCCTTGTTCTCTCTCTCTCACTCTCTTTCATCTTTCTCAATCTCCTTTTATAAGAAATAAAACTGCTTAAATCATCCAAAGTAAATAAGCTCCCAGTCCAAGCTGGGCTTCTTAAAGTCTGGCCTGCCCGGTGAGGGGACGGGGAAGCCCAGTGTCCAGCATCCTGTCCAGGCACCTGCAGCCAGGTGGCTCTCCCAGGTGAGCACAGCACACTGGACACCATGAGGCCGACAGCCCCAGAGGACTTCACCACCCAGGGCCCAGCAGGAGAGGTAGCCAGGTGGCGACTCCTGGGATTGACTGGTCAGCGTTTGGGAGGGGGTCAGAAAACCATGCAGCTAAAACAGGGCCCAGAGCTGAGGGTGGTGGGGTCTCAGGGCCTCCAATTCTGCTTGCCTTGCACCCAGTCTCCTCCTGCCTGGTCTCCTTCCCCTCCTTCCCTTCCGGGTCCTTTCCTGGACAGACGTCAGGGTGAGCCTAAGTCTGGGTGGGGGAGGGTTCCAATGCCACACACAGGCCCAAGTACCCCTTTCGGCCATGTGCTTACCCCGGGGCCCGGGAGCACCCTGCGCCGAGCTGGGGCCACCCTCAGCCCCAGCCGTTGGTGTGGGCCAGGGGTGTGCGGGCCTCTGGGGCTGCTGGGCTCCCCTCTCCATTGTACTCTTACGCAGACACAAGTCTTTTTAGGCAAAGCAACCTGTCTACCAACCAGCTCTCTCCCTACCTACCGGCTCGAGGTGGGGTGTGGGGGGAACAAGAAGAGACTCTGCTCCAGTCTCTCCCTCGAGGCTCACGTAACAGGAAGCCACTGTTGCTACCCCAGCAACCCCTCCTGACCGGATGGGCAGTTCCTTCTGCCCTCTCCCTGGGGACACTCAGCACCAAGCCAGGCCTTACCAGCGACTGGCTCCTGTCCCACCCTAGCTCACGGGAGAAGGGAGGAGCCATCGGGATCAAAGCCAGGGTCCCAGTCCCCTCTGCATATAATGTGACATGGCTAGGGTGGCGATGGGGGCCCAGTAGTCCCACGAGGCCTCCGGGAAGCCTTGGACGCAGTGCCCCTGTCGCATGGCCACGCGTGGTTCGAGGCGAGTGCTCCGAGGAGCCCGGCTCACCTGACGCCCATCTTGCAGTCCATGACACAAGGCGAGTCGAAGTCGGCGAGCAGGTCGTCCATCTGGTTGTAGCGCTCCCCGTCCTTCACCACGTCCCCGTGATAGGCCGGCACGTAGGGCTTGAGCACGTCGGCCATCAGCCGGTCCAGGCAGCGCTGCTCCGACTCGCAGTGCTTCTTCAGGATCCGGCCGTTGGCGGCCGCCTTGAAGCTCCCTGGGAGCAAAGTGAGAGGCGGCTTGGTCCCGGGCCGAGGTCTTCCCGACTCTGACCACCACCCCCTCGCCCAGAACGGCCCCCTCGGTGACAGTGCCCGTGGCCCTCGGGGATGCTTTGGGGCTTGCTAAGCATTGGGCTGACGGTGGGCCCAGGTCTCCACTGTGGGCTGAGCACTTTAAGAGGATTGGGTACAAGTCCTAGTTCCCCGCACACTGACTGCAACTCTGAGCTGGTTCCCCGACTTCCCTGACCCCTGACTCCTCATCTGAAGGTGGAGGGACAGCAGAGCTCACTGCAGGAGTGTCAGCAGGGCTAAGCGACAGGTCTGTGCCAAGACTTATTCACTCCTCTTTGTATAACATACTATCACCATCCCATCTCCACCATCAGTCCTGCTTGTTGGGTAGGGTCTCTAGTCTCAGGGGAAACCCTGATAGGACCTGGCTCAGTGCCAGGGCAAGGCAACTGGCTGAGAAGTGGGGGTCCAAGGCTCGGCCCACCTGGCCAGGCTCCTTCTGAGCCACACCCTCAGGTGAGTATTTAGGAAGTGTGTCCATCCAAGTGCCTTGGGCTGAACCCATGTGGTTGGGCCTATAAAAGAAACATCAGACTCTGTGCTGGCCTGAAGTGCTGAAGGCCGAGACCTGGGCAGCCACTGAAATGCCCTGGAGGTCAATGCACACCAAAGGGCCCCGCCTGTGGACTGGACAGCTCTGGGGCTGGGGCTCCAGGGTCCCTCCTCCCCTGTCACTGATAAGCAAACTAGAGTCCACATGGCTGACCTGGTGCCCTGGCCACCTGCATACAGCACTCCACCCCAATTGGCCACCGATGAGCTCCTTTGGGGCAGATACTACATTTTCATTAATGTTGTGACCCCTAATAATGGGGGTACACGGTAGATACTCAATGAAAGAGTTAGCATTGCCTCTTTGTCCAAGATGACAAATGGCGGGCGGACTATAAGGTCTACAATTTCATCTGTTTTACTGAGTTAAACTGGAAGAGCTAGAGAAGGATGGAAAGAATCAGAGACTGGGGGGAATCAATCGTGTGTTTTGGAGAAGGGATGGCAGTTGTCCGTGTGCATGTTCAAGGCAGCATTAAGGCCACATCTCGAAAGTATGGCTGCAACTGTGGGCCAATTCTCAGAGAGAACCTGTTTGGACACTTCCACCCCGGGGAGCGCCCAGGGCCAGGCCTCACCCCCCACACATGCTGGGTAGCTCCCCAGGGAGCCCGAAGTCCTGACGGGAAGAAGACCCAGGAGAGCCGTGCTACCTGCGTGTCCTGCCAGCTGGATCCAGGGGTACTTCTTCTTGAAGGACATGACAAAGGGAGACCAGTGCACCATGTTTTTTATTTTCCTCCATGATTTGCTCTAGAAACAAGCAAACGAAAAGCTTGACATTAGAAAAAGAACCGCTTTCCGGTTAGGATACATTCAAAGCAGGGTAACTCACCACCAGTGGCCACAGGACGAGCGTGGCCATGCCCACAGCCCAGGGGCTTTGGGCGGGGCCTTACCTCTGTCGGAGGGGGCTTTCCCAAGTCTGAGCAAAATGCCCAGAAGCAAGGGGATCTTCAGGGAGGAGGGTCTTACAGGTTTTGGGGGTGGGAGGAAGGGGGGAAGAGTGCTCTCAATCGAGGGCTGACCCCCATCCCATGCCACCTTGTCAGGGAACAACCGAATCCACACCACCCTCCTTCACGTCCCTTCTCAGGGCCTCAGTTTCTTCATCTCTCCGGAGAGGGAGAAACAGCTGGTCCGCCAGACTTCTTGACGGATGGACACTCCAGGAGTGGAGATGGCCTCCTACATCCCAACAGCATGGCCTTCGGAGGAAGGCCCTGGCCCTCACACCCGGCTGCAGTGTGTCAGTTCACATGTCATTTGCAGACGTGGTAACAACAGAGGCAGCTCTGCCCTCGAGGGGTTTGCAGAGCCATTTTAAAGGGAGTTCTCCAATAACATTCATGGAGCGCCGTCTTTTCCCAACAAGCACGCAAGGCAGTGCGGTCATTTACAGAACTCAGGCTTCAGAGACGTAAGCGATAACATTGGCATTCAAACCCTCACCGACACCACTACTTTTTAAAAATCCCCTTCCCCACAACAATAAATATTTCTCTAGAGAAAAATATCCCTAAGTTAACTCTAGTAAAAACGGGCTATGGGGAGAGAGAGATTAAGTGGCCCCAAACACATGAGCCATTGAGCTCATGGGTGATGAGAACTTGAACTGAGAAGGATCTAAGTTCCTGAGAAAGCAGATCCCCGAGCAGCCAGAACCAGGGTCGGAAGCTCGAGGCTCTGTGCCGGGGAGGAGAAGCTGGGAATTCTGTAGAAGCGGTGAGGAGGGTCCTGCCCTGACGGGGACCCTGACAACGCTCCTCCCCGCTCCCTGTCCTGCAGGGGCCAGCAACCACCCCGAGGAGCCTGCACGGACTCTGGCTGTGGAGGCTGCTGGAGCCCAAGGTTAAATCAAAGTTAAATCAGCCTCCTTTGTTTTTTCTCTCTTTGCCAAAATTCACTGCGACTGTCATCAAGTTTTCAAGTTAAAATCTGTTTAAGGAGAAGAATTCTTCCCTCCTGAACCTGGCATTTTTTTTTTTTTTTATCCTCACCCGAGGACATTTTCTCATTTTTTGTTCAAATAGAGTGGGAGGGAGAGAGAGAGGAAGAGAAAGAGAGAGAGAAACATTGACGTGAAAGGGGCACATCGAGTGGCTGCCACCCACACGACCCAACCAGGGCCGGGGACAAGCTGCAACCGAGGTACGTGCCCTTAGCGGGAACCGAACCCGGGTCTCTCTGGACCGCAGGCCAATGCTCTAACCGCTGAGCCGAACTGGCCAGGGCCTGAACCTGGCAATTTTATCCCCGTCCCAGAAGCCTCACCCTATGGCCAGGACCTGGTCTATCTTAAGCAAGCCCCCCCACACCCCTGCCAGGCCACGTGACAAAAGGGCTGGGCCTTTACTGACAAGGGTGTTTTTCCTAGATCCTTCTGATGGAGATCACCAAAGAAGGCTAAGGAAGGCGAGGTATTTCTTATCTAAGCGCCCAGAAGGCTGCATAAACAATCAGGGTAGACAATGCTGAGGCAACAATGGAAAAACCTAATTACATGAGATGAGCCAAGCAGCTGCTTGCTGGTCTCACAGGGAAGACATTAAGACAGGTCCAGAGGAAGAGTGAGCAGCCAGCCACCACCTGCTGGTCACGTCCCCGCAACCGAGCTCAGAGGGGATGAGGGTCTGACGGGTCCAGGGCTGGGGTCGGGGGAGGGCTGACCCTAACCCATCCCACCCTGTCAGGGAACAGCTAAGCTCCCACTGCCTTTCTTCAGGCCTCAGTTTCTTCACCAGCTACTGAGGAATGGACAGCTGGTCTACCAGACTTCTTGGAATGACAGACACTCTAGGACTCTGGAAAATGATCTCCCATATGCCAACAGCCATGGCCACTCAGAGGAAGATTAGAGAGGGCCACTGTAACCCGCTGCAGTGTGGCATCTCACACTTCATTTGTAGACACAGTGGCAACAGAGAGCCCAGGGATGTGTCCCAGGGCCAGGGAGGGGCCTGCACGGACTGGGGGTGCAGACTGATGACTGCTGAAGGAAGGCTGGGGCTGCACTCAACAGGCAGTTGGGGAAAGACCAGGGACAGGGAAGAAGATATTGGGGGATGGGTGGCTTGTGGGAACAGAGGCCTGGGACAGGGATTTGGAGTAACTGGGACCAGATCTGCTGAGAAGGGGAGCTGGAAGCAATGGGGCATGAGGCTGAGCAGGTGAGTGAGTTGTGTGGGCAGAAGGCCCACCTGGGCCTGAGTCCTGGTCCCGTCCCCTCCTCACTGACTAGTTCTTGACCTTCCTTGAAGCACTATCATCTTACCCATGAAATGGGAATAACAGATTCCCGACAGCAGGAGGTAAAGCCATTAGCAGATTAAGGGGTGTTTGTGGAAGAGTCTCAGCTCTGTGTTCAGGAAGAGAGGTCTCTAAAGCTCTCCTGGGAGCTGAGCAAAGGTGCTGCCATAATTCCTAAGGCCCACCCTGTGGGGGTGCAGCCCTCCAGAGACCCATGGAGACACACGGAACCTGCAACCTGCGACCCTGAGAGGCAGGAGAGAACAGAGGCTGGATGAGCACAGGGAGGCTTGGGTCCAGCAGGGGCACTTAAAACTGTGAAACCTCAAGGTCCTGGACCTCACTTCAGAGACTGGAGATCAGGGGTCCAGCAAGGAGAGGAGCGCTGGGGGGAGGGGGGGGCGTGTCTTCTGATAGTTCATGGGATCCAAGACCCTCTCAACATCACTAAGCTCGGAGTAAGGGAATTTCTGCCACATGAAAGGGGCCCCACGTGGCCGAGGCCACGCGAGCCCTCCATCCCGTGGCTACACTGCGCGGAAGGGCGGTGGAATATTCCACTCGGATGGGCTTGCACACCAGGGGACTTCACTGCCAGCACCAGCACACAGGGGCTTTTCCCGTGGTTTTTAAATAGCAGCACCCAGGCAGTGCCTCGTGGCTGCCAAACATTAAACAGAAAGGCACTTCCAGGTCCAGATCCAGGCCTGAGAAAGGAGCCTGCAGGGGAATCCACTCTCCCCATTTCCAGCTCACAGGAGCGGAGACAAAAAGCAGAGCAGATTTCAGATCGCCACTTCCTGTTTGATGGCCCAGAGACCAGAGCCCCCATTCAGGCACCAAACCTACTCTAGGTAGCATCCCCTTGGTGGAGGAAGCCACAGTCCTCAGAATTGGACGCCAGGCATCTCCCCAGAGCTATGACAGGTGACAAGGCAAGAAAGGAGGGTAGCCCAACAACCTGGAAGAATCCCATGCAGAACTGATCTCTCTCAGCTCTGGCTCGCTACCTTTTCTCTCCCTGGAGGTTCTCAACAGCCTCAGCCACTTCTCTGAAATTGGACTGTCCCAGGTCTCCAACATCTCAAGCTGAGCTTCGTGACATACAAAGCAGCCCGCAGGTGCCTTGAACATGGTGTGGCAAAGGGCACTTGGTCCTCTCCCATGGTGCAATGGTGGCCACCAACTGATTTCATTTCACTGGTCCTATTCTTTCATCACCTCTCAATCACCAGGGACATCTGGTAACCCTCTGCTGACCCTTTTTGGAATGTCCCCAAAGCTCTATATGCCGGAGAGGTCCCTGCTGACATCTCCCTGGAGGCTGAGAGGGCTCATTTCCGTAGATGTGTAACACGTATGCCAGCCTGCCTGCCAGCCCTGAGCCTGGTGTTTGCATTAATGACTCTTCTCACTTAGGAACTCTTACTATGTGACAGGCCCTGGACTGCACACTTTATGGCCCTAGCTCTAATCTTCACAACAGTCTGAAAAATAGAAGTATTTCTTTTTTTTTTTTATCCTCACCCGAGGATATTTTTCCATTTTTTGTACAGATAGAGTGGGAGGGAGAGAGAGGAAGGGAGAGAGAGAGAGAAACATCGACGTGAAGGGACACATCGAGTGGCTGCCACCCGCACGACCAACCAGGGCCGGGGACAAACTGCAACCGAAGTACGTGCCCTTAGCGGGAACCGAACCCGGGTCTCTCCGGACCGCAGGCCGATGCTCCAACCGCTGAGCCAAACTGGCCAGGGCTGAAAAATAGAAGTATTTCATCTGTAATACAGAGACTCCAAGGCCCAAGTTGAGTTGCTTCCCCAAAGTCATTCCACTCTCTGCCCATGCCCATAGGTGCAGGTTCACACTGGGAACCTCAAACCAGTTCACCAACTGCCAAACCTATCAGCAAGCAAGGGCCCTCGTTCACAAGGGCTCCTTGTTTCGGGAATGTTCTGTAGCTGACCATCCAAGACCCCAGGTATGTCCTATTCTGGGGCTGGACAGGTGCCACTTCTGACTTAGCTACCAGGTAACACAAGGTTCAGATCAGACCAGGTAAAGGCTTCTAGACTGGCGAGAATTCTGCTCTTGAGATGTTCTTGAGAGCACTTCAAGGACAAGGAAAACACCACCACGCTGATCACCTGCCAGGCAGGTAAGAGGCCACAGGGCGGGCTGGAGACACATGGTGTTCACTTTGATTCTGTGCTGGGCGGTTACACGGACTGCAGACCAGAATGAGGTGTTTGGATAGCACCTCAGGTTTATGGGCTTGGAGGAAACCCAGCTACACAAACCCCCAGGTGACGGCACTTTGGGGTTAATAAGCACTAGTTTTGGCTTTGCTCTGCTTTCTCCCTGTGTGCAGAGTAGCAGTTTCTGCTGAAACAGCCCTGACCTCATTCTGGAAGAGGTGGAGTCTCCTGCGATCCTTGGGATGCACAGTTCACTCTGAACAGTTTAGGAGGAAAGAACCAGAAAACAGCCAGATGGGGGTGTGC